TCCGAGCTCATACGCATGTCTCACTGCGGGGGATTCTACTACGAGAACCGGTCGGTTGGCCGCTCGCGAGCACCTCGCACGAGCTCGCTCGCTCATTCCTCTGACCCCCCGCAGGTACCTGAAGGGATGCGTGCAGTCGTGCAGCGACGCCGACGCCTGCAATCGCTCCGAGCGCCAGCTCGGCCGCTCGCACCGCCTACTGGTTGTCGCCGCCGCCGCCGCCGCCACCACCGCCGCCACCACCGCCGCCACTGCAACTTGGCTCGCCTGATCCGGGACTAGGACATCCTAGTCGGAGCGCACGGCCAGCGATTATAGGCACGTCGACGATATGAGCTTTGTAACGAGCCGACACAGGCCATTGCTAAAGTCGCACCGCACTGATGCAACCACTCTTTTCCCGCGATGAATTATTGACGCAGACGAACGACCGCCGGCGATCGATCGCGCTTCAAACCTGAACGTAACGTCCCGTTGCGGGCTCGACCGAACGGAAAGTAAACGACGATCGCGCCCCCCGCCCCTAACCAACGAAGCGCCCGCTACCGCGGTAGGTGCAATTTTTCCGAGTCTCCGGTGCGCCGTTGTACGATTCACGTGCTGAAATGTCGCGCCGACGCTTCTCCCTGCGGCAGTTGGTCGCCGTCGACGAATTCGAGCAACAGTGTCAGCCGCAGGACTCGGACGGGCGTGAGGTGCGCTGCCGTTCGCCGCTCTACGCCCCGTTCGCGATAAACGACATTTAATGCCGCACGCACCGCGCAGACCTCGACGGCCTTCGCTCGGCTGCGCGGCCGCGCGTCGGGCTGGCTCAGCGCCCAACTCGGCCGGATGCTCGTCGCCGACGACAAAGCCCACGAGCCCTACACAGTCTGGTCCAGCCTCGTGTCCTTTGTTTTCGGCCTGCTGCTCGTCAAGATTTACGGCGACGCCTTCGACAGCGTGAGTATTTCGGGACCCCGTCGTGGCTACTCCCCCGACCCGCTGAGTTAAGCAACGGCAATCGGCGCGCAGGCGATCGGCAGCTACTACGAGCGTCTGAGAAGCGGCTTCGGTACCTTTTGCGGACTTGTCGCCAGAGTGAACGCTAAGGATATCGAGACAGTGGCGGCACTGTGCGTGCTCCTACTACTTTGGATCGGGGCCCTTAGAATTCTCGCCAATGTCGTTCGACAACTCGTCCAACTTGTCAGACTCCGCTAGTTCGCGGCTCGCGAGTGAATCGTTCGTCTCTTGAATATCATTGAATCGAACTCGAGCTTTCGAGCCTCTCTGGGTCAGTCGATTAGAGCTCTCGAGCAGCAACTGAGGTATTTAGACCGAATTTTAAAAGCTTCTTTCATTGTTCGCCTATTCAAGCTCTACACTCTGTTTGATTTCTCCAAGTCGTTTCCCCCTTTGTACACGGTTCGGATCTTAAATTTGTATACTAAAAAAGTTGCAGCTCAAGCTACTCGAGCTCTTGCAGCTGCCTGTAATTGAAATTAGGTGAGAATCATTAGGCCTCGCTCATAGATTATGTACAAAATTTTATTTTTTCATTTATCCATCGTAATAAACTGTCTTATGTACAAAATTAAAATACAGACTTTATGAAAATGCACACTTTTTGTTGGCTAAACTCGTACTATAAAATATTATTTTGTATAAATAAGTCTTTCAAGTTAATTGATCTAGTACGATTGTATACTCTAAATATGTATAATACATTTCAGGCTGGCCAATTGAATGTCTATTAAAGCCTCTATAGGTAATACTTTGATTGATGAGTATTAATAAAACTATTCGACTCGTTCGCGAAATGAAAGAGAGAAAGAGAGTACTGCAAATCCATCGACTGGTTGCACAACATAGTAAAAATAAAACAAACTCACACGTCAATAATAATATGTCATTTGAAAACGCAGTCTTTTGCCGCAACAGACGGTACGCCAACGAGTATGAGCCATTCGATTCGGCGTAAGATAGCAGAGAAGGCACTACTCGAACCACAATTGCTGGTAGATTGGCAAACGAAAATCCGTCGCGTTCGGTTGAAATGGAACTAATCGTCGACAATGGTAATGGTGAGGTTGTGCTCCGGCCAGGAGAACGTTTTTGGCAATTGAAGCTGGAAAGAAGAGGAGATCGGTGAGTGCACTTGCGCGGAGGCGCGGCGAGCGCGTACTTACCCGCTGGGGACTGCCGAGAACCTGCAATTCCGGGGCCATCTTCGCCGCCAGCTCGTCGGGCACGAGCGCCTGGAGCCAGGGGCCCTGCACGACGTAGGGCCTGTCCTTGGTGACGATGGTGTTGGTCACGGTGGGCGCCACGAAGGTGATGGCCGCGTGCGATAGCACCGACTTGAAGGTGAAATGCCTGCCGTGCATGACTCTGCCCCTGTGCGCAGAGAGAGCCGCGGGTGAGTGGAGAAGGGGGGGGGGGGGCGGCGAGCAGACGAGTACCGACTTGATGGCGAGGGGCAGCAGGCTGCCAGCCTCCAGGTTGAAGGTGAGCTGCAGGCCGCGCAGCACCCTCAGGTCGGCCTCATCGGCGGCGGCGCGCTCGCAGGACGGCGATAGCCGCTCGGACTTGACGCCGGGCTCGGGCTCCTCGTCCGAATCGTCGCGACTCTCACGGTAGCTGGCGCCCGCGGTGCCGAGCCCCCCGGGCCCGGCCTCGGCCGGCAGCCAGCAGCACTTGGCGGACACGCCGCTGAGGTTGGAGCCCTCGCGCTCGATGCCCTCCTGCACGCTGAGCGCCACCGAGGGGTCCTCGTCCATGATGGAGCGCGAGCGGCGCATGTCGGTGAGCAGCCAGGGCCCGCAGGCGCGACTGCGCTTCAGCAACTCCACGAGGCCCAGGCCGTTCCAGTGTTGGGCCGCGCGCAGCTCGTCCGAGGTCACGCCCACGATCTGCACGAACTGCACCTGCGGGCGAGAAGGCTGTGAGCCGCGGGCGGCGCGGGCGGAGCCGGCGAGCGCTTACGTCTCCGTGAGGCGTGAGCAGGCTACTGGGCAGCTGGGCGTCGCTGCTCACGAGGATCTGCGTGAGGCGGCCCGGTCCGCCGGCGGCGCCGCCGTCGAGGGGCGCGTGCCAGGACACGTGGTCGCCGGCCACCAGCAGGTTACCCGAGCTGAACACGTACTTGGCCAGCTGCTGCATGAGGTGGGCCGGCCAGGTGGGTGGGCTGCTCTCCCCGGCGCCGCGCACCAGCCGGAAGGTCAGCTCAAAGCCGAAGCCCGAGGGCTGGCCGGGGCCGCCGAACGGGTGCAGCCGCTCGTCGCCGTGCAGGTCCGACAGGCCCAGGCTGCAAGCGAAGTAGCCGCCTTAGTTTCGTGCGCGCGTCGCGCGGAAAACGGGGCTCACCTGACGTAGTGCCAGTGCGACGGCACTCCGAGCTCCGGGCAGCCGGGGTTCTCGTACATGCTGATATAGTCCAGCGGGTCCGGGCCGCCCAACCTGCCCGTCCAATGCGATGCCAGTCAAATGAAATCGCAGCCAGCGCCGGCGATCACTTACCAATACTTCACGATGGCCGTGACAGTGAGCGGGTTGCTCTGGTCGGGATATAGCTCCTTGCAGGCGTTGTGTATGGCCTCGAGGCCCGGGGCCACTTGGAGCCGAGGCGGCTGCTGCTGCTGCTGGGGCATCCTCGTGGCGACGCTCGACGCTCGGCCGGTTTCGCGTTGCTCGCCGTGGCCGTTCATCTCGTCGCCGTCCAGCTCAAGGACCACTGATCTCGCTGTTGTTCCAGCCCGAGGACATAACCTACACCGAACAGCGATATAAGATACACTTGTGCCGCGACTAACGCTCACGCACGCACACAGCGGCCTCAGCGCTCCTGCGGTACTGCCCGCTGCTCACACTACTGAGTGCTGCTCTGTGCTCAATGCTGCTGAGTACTGACTATAGTAGACTAGACAGTCCATATAACTTTAGGCACACTATATATAGCTGCATACTCACTCGCGCGCATACACTAAAGAGGGTATGGTTGCGGTGATTAACACAGCTAAAAATAAGATTTGCTGGTCATTTAGATAGGATGTGCTTCAAAGCTTTAAACTCGAGAAATTTATGTTTGGAAATAGCATGATTTTGTGATCAAAAGCACGTTCTGTATAGTTTAGACGTTATAAAAAAATTAGAAAATTCCGAATGAATTCTGTTATATGTGAAAACCAATCTTGACTCCCTAAAAATAATGAAGAGCTTACATGAATAACGTAAATTTATATCGGCTTTAACTTCAACAGTGAATTAAATAACAGGAGCAATTATAATTAGTTGGTACACATATATATAGCAACGTCGCGATTGCTATATATATATATATATATATATATATATATATATATATATATATATATATGCATACGTGCTCTCATATAGGCGCGAATTTCAAAATGCGAAACTTAAGTGTATGTAAATAGAGGTGCAATGTTACTAAATATCCCACTATTCCCATGCGAATCAACTACACGTCGCAGATTTGTGACCTAATGTGCTCCGGCCGTTTACTTTGTTTTAGTTACGAAATGATTTTTATGACTAAATAATATTGTAAGTACTATTGCGAAAACCAACATATTTTTGTTTACATTTATTATAATTTTACATTTTGTCCATATCTTTCACATTTCTAGCAGCTTTATAAAAATATCGTAAATCTAAATCTACTAACATGTTATAACTTATGAAGATTCTGCAAGTACAGAAACCTTTAAGCTTAGGTTAGGAAATTGTCAACACACGTATACGTGTGTATGTGCACATTGTACAGCGACAAATCGCGCAACCGCAACTATGTCATTTAAGTCTGCGACAAATTAACAATCCGATCAGTATTAAAAAACAATGAAGTGTAGTTAGCCTTGAAAGGATGGGATCATTCAGTCTCGGAATTGCGGTCTTATTGTTTCTGTTGCTCCCAGAACAGAGGCATTGCCTCATTCTGACGGCTGTCAACAAAAGCGTTGATCCCCAACCAGAGTATAGACCAGAGGGACCTCTTGTTCTCTGTAAATTTTTGTAAGTCTTGTCGACGTCTTACCTATTTATTTCGCGTATAATTCTTTTATGATAATCCTGCTAGTATCGGCAACTTGTTGCAGGCCCAGAGAATTTGTAGACTGTGATGAGCCTATTGATCACAAAGGAAACAAAACTGCCAAAGACGACGTGGGCATGGGTTGTGTCAAAGTATGTTTCTATGCTTAGTAAGTTTATTTTTCTGTTCTATTCTAACATTTAACGTATTTGTACAGTTTGGGGGATCGAGGTACGAGGAAGTTGAAAAAGCCAAAGTCTTCTGCACAGTACTACCAGAAATTGAGTGTCATGGTTACAGAACATTTCTCAGAGGTGGTGTGCCATGCATTAAGTATGCTGGACACTACTTTACTACTACTCTACTCTACAGCATTTTACTAGGATTCTTAGGCATGGATCGCTTTTGCTTAGGACAAACTGGCACAGCAGTTGGCAAACTATTGACACTTGGTGGCATTGGAGTTTGGTGGGTAGTAGACGTTATATTACTAGTTACAAACTCACTGCAGCCAGAAGATGGCAGCAATTGGAATCCTTATGTTTAAAAATGACAATTAGTGAAGTGACTGGAGAAAAAATTAAACTGAAGAAAAGTATCATGTTGATAAGTTTCGAATTTTTGTATTATACACAAATATTGTTATATTTTTGTACATAATAGAGTTTAATAGCCATTTGAATAAACAAAGTTTGAATAACAGGTTGTCAGTCATACAAACTTTAAATAAACAACGTTTAAGAGTTTTATTAAAATTATATAATATAAATTTTTTTTAAACCGATTATTTTTAATTATTCATAATTCGTAGTCATCTGGGTGATAGTGCTCACTTATCAATCTATAAATATACGATGGTGCATTTCCTCCACTGAAAATGAAAAAAAATTAAATTAGTAAATAAGTAAAAATTTGTTAGTTGGTGGGACTTACGTATTTGATATGAACAATGTGACCAATTCTGGAGGTACATAGTCGAAAACTGGATTGAAAAACTGACTTTTTTCCATCAATGCAATATTATTACCACTAATTACACCTTGCAAAGGTGAAACATGTTTATTGAAGGCATGTTGTTCATAAGAACACAGGTATAGTGGAGACAATTTGTACAAAGGTAAGAGAACCATTACTGGCACAGAATAGTGCTTTGCAGCTTGAGCCACGGTATGTGAACCAGTTATTGCTCTAAGACCTCCATTAGCCATAACAGTATGTGTTCCAATTATAACTTTATTCACACGCGACATCATGGCAAAAATTGCTGCATCTGATATTAGTGTAGTTTTGATCTGAGCTTTGGCTAAATTTACAGCCATTTCATGACCCTAAAAATTACAAATATGTATTATAGCTGAAATGTATAATTCTTTGTAAGTTATGTATTACATACATCTAAGAATGGAGCACCTTCAACAACAATAACTTCAAAAGCTCTAGTTTCAGCAGCTTTTTTGAAAAATTTCTCAACTGATCTAGATTTGCCAATTGTCATCACAATCTCATTCGAGTGAATATGTTCTGAAGCTTGCTGTGTTATATTTTCTGCACTATTGTAATATCATTTATAGTTAGTAATATAAAAGTAACCATTCAAACTAAATTCAATTGACTAACCATGTTTCCAGTTCTGTTTCAAATTCATTGATATGTTCTATCAAAGCTGACTTAAGAGCAGGCACTACTTGATTGAAATCAATGTTTTTGTCAGTTTCAGAAGTCAAGATTTTATGCAGAGATTCTTGTATATCTGTTTCCTCTGATTCACTTTTTAATTCTGAATAATATTCTTCTCTGATAATTTGTAGTATTCTTCGAACCATGTGACCAATGGAAGATTCAAAAGGAACAGCCTCCATAATGTGTTTTCCATTTAAGACAATAGTTTCCATTAAAACTCTGTAAAAATAATATTTTTATTGAAAAATTATTTGTGAATAAGCTCCAAAAGTAAACTTACTTTGCTGTATTCCACTCTGAGTTTATTATGACTTCCTTTAAAACTGAAATAGTGGCTACCACTATTTCGTAAGTACCTTTGATGTCTCTGAAAATTTGTAGAAAGTTTTTCAAAATTGATATTATTTATTATTCAATACAGATGATTTTTTATAAGGTATTAAAATGTAATATTCAAGTTTACCCATAAGTTATCCGTCTTGCTAAATCAGAAACTTTTTCATGAATTCTGTCATTTGACGCCATTTTTAATAAACTTAATAAATTTTTTAAAATGTTTTTTCTATCAATATGGGAAACACAAACAATACCAAACAACACGTAGTATGTGTACACCACTGTACGTGTATATATGTTATTAAGCTCAGGTTAGGTTAGATTTGCGAAATTGACAAATTGTCAACACATTAATTCATACATTATATATATGCAAAACTATACATAAGCGTATAGTCTTATATTCGTGAAAACTATATATACTTAATATAGACTATAGCGCTGTTTACCCCCTTACATACACACACACATTCACACACATTCGGTTAACTATTCGTACAGGATGTAGTACGTAAGTACGTCGAACACGTGCTCTATAGAAGTATACTGATTCATGATAAGTACTTCTCTACCAAAATTGACAGATTATCTAAAGTGATCAATTAGTTATTAACCAAAATATGGCACAGATTGGAAATATTGTAAGAGTTAATATATTACTGTTATTTATTTACAGAGTAGTTGTAGAAAACGTAGTCTTTTTTTGTTGAGCTTCATAAGTCAATAATTTAAATAATGTTTTTATTCGTTAAATTTTGATTTTGTTCTTATTTAAAAGTCAGCTGATCAACTCATTGCTGGCTCAAGTGTTTTATCTAGACCAGCAGAAGAATTTGAAAATGATGTAAGTAATTTCAAACTTGTCAAATAAAAATTTGGCAATTATATTAAAATACTAAATAAAATTCTAGCAAACAATTGAAGCCTTGTGGGCAATGAAAGCAATGGAGCATGCTGAAATATATTTCAATGTAAGTTATTGTTACAAGCTGCTCTAATTAGTCAAGAGAATGAAAAGTATTTTTTTTTTCAGATTTTATGTTCAGTCGATCCAAAAATTTTAAGACTAACTCCCCATGATAATACTATTTATAAGACTTTTAGAGAAATTTTTCCAAACTTCAAAATTGATGTAATAAATGAAGATGAATTAAAGTCAGAAGAAGGTAAAAACAAATGGAGACCATTTTGTGAGCAGTTTAAAGATCTTGTGGAAGATTATAGTTTTGGTACTTTAATTCGAATCAATTGCACTGATGAATATTCAGAATCAAACAGTATGTTGACAACTAGGATACAATTCTATGCAATTGAATTGGCTCGTAATAGAGAAGGATTTAATGATCAAATAAGACAGAAATTTAAACCCAAAAAGATTCAGAAAATATCTTGTTGAAATGTATTCTGCACATATTTTACTATCTAAAGATAATTTTCTTAAAAACTAAAAAGACAATTACATTTTCACATTTAGTAATTCTTGATTTAATTACTTTTTACCTTTGTCATTTTTATTAACTTTGGTGTGAAGTTACACTTCATAAGTTTGAATTGCAGCAAAGAAATTTTTACAACTTAATTATCTACTTATGAGTTAAAAGACATTTCTGCAATATGTAAATTATGAGAAAACAAGTTGATCAGATAAAAAATATGAATAATTCTTTATGTAATATCTATCTTTTTACAACATAATATTTATTATTTATATATTTGAAAAATACTTATAAATAACTTTATTTTTTCTTTTTTGATAAAGACATTGCAATCAATGGATTGGAAATTCGGGCTTGATACTTCGATTTTGCTGCACTAGAACTAGAAGCTACATCTCTGTTAAATTTTCGCTTTCGACGCCCAATCCCTGCTAAACTTTTCAATGAAGCAGGTACAATATATTCTGGTACATCTTGTAGATGAGGTTGCAACTTAACAGTATGGAGAGCTTTATCTTGTCTAAGAGATTGTAAATCGCGTGGATTATCTTCAAAGTAACTTTTGAGCTTGTCGCAGTTTAGAACTTGTTGCTTAATTTCTTTGAGTCTGGCTTCTCGAACAGCAATTCTTGTTACAGCTTTCCATGCATCTCGAGCTCTATACCTGTAAAAAGAAGATGAAAACGATGTTTTATTAGGATTATTCATATTATTTTCATATATTTATAGTTATTCAATAAATAATTAAAAAGAGTCAGTCTGGGGGATGAATAATTTGCGTGCAAAATCCTCTTTTGCGTACGAATACTTAGATATTTAAGTCAGTCTGAGCATTTTTCCAGTCGCAGCGTGGACTATCTATTAAGATTAACGATCAATCAGGGTTATTTCTCTAACTTAGCAAGCCAAAAAGGATTTCACATAAGAGGTGAATTTCGCGTACAAGGTGCTCGCCCTTACACCCACTCATAATTCAAATATACCTAAAGCCTTCAACTTCATTTAATTTAAATTGGTAAGTTTTGAATAAATTTTCTTGTGCATATTCCTTCTTCAAACTTTCTTCAACATCTTGTAACAAGAATCTCTCTCTGATTGCTACAAAACTTAAAACTGTCCCTTGGTTTTTACCCCTTGCAGTGCGTCCAGCTCTGTGGATGTAAGCATTAATGTCGAGAGGAAAATCAAAATTGATCACATTAGAAACAAACTGAAAATCTATTCCTCGAGCTACACCAGATTCCTTATCCTTTCTTCGTTTTCCTTTTTTATGTTTGATAACATGAGGCTATAAAAGATTATTCAACAATATTAGTCAAGTTATACATTTTGAATAAAGGAAAATCAAACTTACTTCTTCTAAGGCTTTTTCATCTGAAGCAATGATTATATCGTATGTGCCAGTATTGAATTGTGAAACAGCTCTACATCTCGAACTTGCAGGTAATTCAGAATTCAAAACACAAGTTGGAATACCAAACTGTTCAAGAAATAATTTAAGTTTATAACATCGATCTACAGTATTTACAAAAATTATACATTTCCCCCTAAAAGAAAGACAATTATTAAATAAATAAAAAAATTTGAGTAAATAAAATATAAAAATACTCATACCTAATCAGATGTAATTTAAACAGTGCATACAAAATAGCAGCTTTGTCATTTTCTTCAGCTGCTAATGTATAATGAGACAGTTGTGTTGGGGGAGCAAGCGATGGCTCTTCAAGCTTCAATATAGCTGGATTGTGTAGGACCAATTTTTTTAGAGATAATACATCTTCTGATAAGGTTGCAGAAGCTAATATAGCTTGATAAATTGTTGGAAGATAGGTTAATAAAGTTTTGACTTCTTCTTCATAACCAAATGAAAAAATCTGTAATTTCAAAATAGATGATTGATCAAATTTTCCTAGCTTTCACATATAATTTTCTAATTTTAATATATAACTTACTAAATCTGCTTCATCGATGATTAATGTTTCTAAGGTCTTTTTGACATTTAAATTTTTAGCTTTCAAGTGCTGAAGTGCTCTGCTAGGAGTAGCAATTACAATATCGGGATTCTCAGCTAAAAGTGATTTCTGAGCAAGTAAGTCAACTTGAGGACTAATATCCAAATATTTCACTTCTCTACTGCATTTTATTGTAAGGCTTAGAAAGACGTTATATATTTGCTTACATAGCTCTTTACTTGGGGTTAAAATTAAACTTGTAGTTTGTTGATACTGTTGTGTTTGTTTATTTGAAAGAATTTTTTGAATTAGAGGAATTGCAAAGGCTCCAGTTTTCCCAGAGCCAGTTCGTGCACGTACTAAAACATCTTTTCCATCCAATATTAAAGGTATTGTTTTTTCCTGGATCAATGTTGGCTCAGGCCAACCTAATTTTGCTAAAGCCTAAAATAAAGTCATAACAGGTTTTCAGATACTGTGTATTACAATTAATATACACCGTATACCATATCATATATAATTTATAATATTATTAAAAATCGTTTATATAAACTTAACCTTTAATATTCTATCGTCTAATCCCAGTTCATGGAATTGTTTAATTTTTTCATCCTGTTCATCTGGTACATCTTCTGTTACGGCGCTATCCATATTATCAAAAATATACGAATATCAATCAATTTATAAACTATTAAACACGTGTTGACTATTCGAAGAAGGATTCAGACATTCTAGAAATGACATCAAATTCCGAGTATTCTGACCTGACACGATCAGCAGCACGGATAAGCGACTAGTGCCAGTGTCACTGCGCAGCTATACATAGTGTGTGATCCGAATGGAGGTCCTTTAAATACGCTATACTTGTGCGCCGATTGTGGCGCTTATTATGAAAAAAAAATTAAATAGAATGTAGTATGAATAAATAATGATTGATTAATTTCCATTATACCATGATATTAATTAAAAATGTATTTATTTTTACTTTTACGATGGAATTCAATTTCAATTTTGAATGATAATTATGTACAAATTTCGTAAATAATACTTATCGTACTTATGCAATATGCAACTATTTTGTACACAAAACTTACAAAATATGTGCGTATTTTATACACAAAACACACGATATATGTACATAGATCTTGCTTACGTACATTTCTAAATAAATATGTACATAATATGTACATATTATGCATAAATAAGGTACAGCTTTGCATTAAAACTTTTTACAGGTATACATATGAATTATGTATGAAATTCGTTCCTTAATTTTCAGGGAGGATAACAATCCAAAAGTAATTAAAACATAAATTTCATCAATGCATTTATTTAATTTAAGCTCCCTACGATAATTTTAGTCATAATGCATCCATATTGAAATAATTGATATTAAAATTGAATTCATCGCCATTCTTGCACGCTTATTTTACAGCAATTCTATTGCTCAACGTAAGCGTGATATCGAAAATCCGAAGAGCTTTTCTATCGCCAGTGCAGAGAAAATGTGAAAAATCCGGTATAAAATAATTAGCACCATCGCGGATATCGATACCGAAGAATTTCCAATAGTCAAATTCATCGCTACATTGAACATTTCCAACGAGAAGAAACATTCGCCCTTTACCCAAACTCCGTACGTCAATCAATGTCATAAACGCGTCGAACGTCGCACGTTTTTGAAAAGTAACTTCGTTATCCTCACCGTACTGCACGCACTGAACGATTTTGTCACAATTCGGGTAAATAATTCCACAAATAGAAAGATCGAACGTGACAAATTACGGCTCTGGATTAGCTTCGAACTGCATGATCTAGATTTTTTTGGCACCCGTTAAACGATTCACACGTAATAGTCTGTAAGTCGTACCATCGTAACCGCGAACGAGCAAATCACCAGCATAAAGCCGTTCCACTCTAATAGTCGACCAGTCAAGATTAACATCCAATGGCCATACACGGTCTACGTTACGATAACCCAAGTTATAACAGATTCTACAGCGTTTTCCAGCAGCTCAACATGCAACCTCATCGTTTACGACAATATCGAATTGGTTGGCAGCCGATGGTAGAATTATCGGAATATCTGGCAAATTATCGATTATAGGATTTATACGATGATAATTATCGTTCATCGTCACGATTCGCGTTCGACGATCCGAACCATGTTTCATTTCGTCGTACCAAGCGAAAATTTTTCTGTCGTCAGCTAATCTTTTCACCGTACTGACACCTGTCTTCATTGCATCCCATCTGGCTGTCAAAATGAACGAACATTCCTTATAGTCGTCCGTCCATTGATTATAGATACGCAATCTAATGGATAGTTTGCGCGGTTCTTGGTGCGTGATTTCGCTGTCCAGTATTACTGCGAAGGTATCGTCAGTGGATTTGTCGGGTGCGATTGAAAAATGATTGCTGGACAATACTTCAGTAATTGATAGCAGTACGAACAGGGTGTATTTTCACATATTGAAATAAATCTGCATTTCGAATAAGTCACAACTACTGAGTAGACTGAAGCTATACTGTAGCTTCTAATTGTTTTTTAAATATATCAGGCGGAGGGATTGATAAAACTTTGCATCTCAGATAATAAAATGCCGGACGGAGCATTCATAGCTTGTTACGTCGCAATTTTATTTATAAATATGTTTTAGATTACTTTGAAATTATGCAGAGTAAGTTGAACTGTTTAGTATTTTTTTTTCTGATAACGTAAGTAGAGTAAAATTCGTTCACATATTGTTACCCATGTCGACACTAAGCGGCAGCACCAACGCAAGCTTCGCTACCATGATCGAACGCTATAATAGGCAGTTGCTCACTCGTTATGTGTATTTCAAAGTGTATAATTAATAAAGCTTAGTTCTTATTAACCCCTGAGTGCCTTCATTTCACCTATCTAAGTCTAGTATGAGTTCTTAAATTTTTTAATTGTGGGCTTTGCGTTTTAAAAGAAGAGATCTACGTCGTCTGTTCTGGCTAATCAGTATATTTCTTACGTAACGCAACACCGCTTGAATAATATCAAATTATTTTCTCAATTATTCATAATACGGAATATATATTTTTCTTAATAACTGCAGTTTTAAGAGATTAAGTGCAATGGTACGTTCATTTGATGCCGGTAGACAATATTAACACCGCGGTGTTCGTTAGAACACGTGACTCTCTCTGACTAAAATAAGCATATCGCGCTGGCTGATACATTTTCGGCATTTTTACAAAATTAGATGCAAACGATCGAACAAATTGAATTAAATAAGAGATAGTTAATTGAGAAAAATATCTTTCACTACCGATTATAAGCCAAATTATAAGTGAATGTTTGACACATTTTTAGCCACGTGTAATTAACGTATATTTACGAAATGAATTCACGCCTTTAAATTCCCTAAGACGTTTCGTTCCGACTATTGCATTGGACTCCTCAATATTTATTGTGAGCAACCCGAGAGGATAACTCTGTTCTATTCGTTTGTTCAAATCATTTTATAAAAAAAAAAAATAAAATAATTGTCAACAATGTTTTCATTCTCAAGTGCCTTGTTAAAAATAAACACACTAACACAATTACTGTTTGAATTATTCTGCGTTAAATATGACGATTCTTTTTTTCATGATTACTCCTCAAATTAATATTAACTATCAAGAGTATTGAATGATTGATGAATGATAAGCTTGTTTACATCAATGATGCATTGTTCATGTAAATAACGCAGTGATATATAGATGAAAGAACAATGTTTGGTTATTTTTACATGTCGTTTATTCGCAAGCCAACAACGTTACAAAATGTTTTTTTATCAAACTTCTATATTGTCTACAAAGAAATACACTTTCAAAGACCACATACTAATAAAGCTTACAAAGTCCTTTTGTAAATGAGTTATGAACGTCGCATGAAACTATGTAATTGCGATTTTTTTAGTCAAGTTATCCGAAGTGGATTAACTCTTCTCTTACGACAAAATATATCCCATTAAAGTCCGATTACTGCAAGTGACAAAATTTTCAATATTAAACGCAATCTTAAATCGCAACTCACATTTAGAAAGGATGTTTAACTGATTGTTTTTCATCAGCGTGTTGCAATGAAAATTATTTTGAAAAACTGACCTTCTCACGAGCATTGAAATCCATGAGCTTTTAAGTTATCCTGACAGTCGCAGTAAAACCTATTAGCAGTAGTTAGACAAAACTGCGCGCAGCCTCCATTATCCTTAGCACAAGCATTCTCTTTGTCTCTAAACTGAACGCTCTCACTGATGACTCTGATCCCAGCGATTCGCTTTTGATAATTACCGATTTGTGCTGGGGTTCTCTTGGCATCGCCTCCCCTTTCTTTGTGAACTCGCCAGATACTCGTCAAATTACTGACGTATAGCCATTGCTGATGAACATAAATCGTTTTAGCATCTTTGATACCATCGATACTGATGACTTTTATATCGGTGCCATCAAATTTGGCATGTTTAATAACTGTAGCCCCATCTCTTTCCCCAATCCAATAAACTCTATCTGTGATATAATCAATAGCGATAAAATGATACCTCTTCTCGTAGTATGGGAAAGTTTCGAAAATTTTATGCACGCTGGTACCGTCCATATTGGCATGATGAATGAAGCGTGCTCTGTTATCTACACCCGCGAAGAACATGGCATTTTTAGCTGGATGAAGAACTATAGCGTAGGGATAGACGTCAATGTCGTATGTGCTGTTATATTCATAAGAGTACAACGTTTTCAGATGATTCTCACCCAAATTCACATTGAATATCATCAATGACCGATACTTCCACATTGTCGACCAGGCTTTGCCACGTTGAACAAAGTATATGTTACCAGTATACCAGTCGTAAGCAATGTCACCTATTAGTTTTTCAGAAGTACCGACGGTCAGAATCGTCGCTTGGCCATGGTAAGCCTTCAATTTCATCTTGTATATGCCATAATCATCGCTCCAATAGAAATGGTCGTTCATTACATCGTAATCGAAGTCTATCTCGCCTTTTTCCGTGATCGTAACGTTCTTATAAGGTGTCGGCCAGATCAGATCCTTCGTAGATCTATGAATGGGTCTGACTCTGACGAAACCATTTTGTGGATACAATAAAAAATCGCTTAATTCATAGCAACTTCTCTTATCGAGACTGATCTGCCATCCCATTTGACAAGCGCAATTTCTCTTGTTTCTCGAGTTCAGAAGACACAAGTGTTGACAACCTCCGTTGTCAATTTCGCATGGGTTCTTAGTAGACATCCCCTGATTAGATAAATGCCCTTTCATGTACTTCGGAACACCGAGATTCGCCATTGTATAGATCATGTATTCTTCACACGTATCATTCGAGCTGATTTTGCACGATAGTAGATTCACTGAAAGACCATAATCAGGCCAGAACCAATACAACTTATCATCAAGAATTGCAAGATCGTTAATAATAACGACGTCGCTGAAGAATGATTGTCGATTTCTTTCTTCGTAGTCGGATGACTCGATGTTCACATAGTCATTGATCCAATATAATCGTTTACGTTTTGGATCCAGCGTCAAAGATGTGGCCTGAATGTTGCTGACAAGTGTACTCACTTCCGTACCATCCATTCTTGCTCGAAGAATCTGTAGATTCGAAAATTTTGCGTGGTTTAAACATGAAAGAATATCGTTATCGCTTATTAAAATTAATTAGTATCTAAAATCTACAAGCACTTGAACTACTTTATGTCGAGTGTCAAACGATTGCGTCATAAAGAATGATTCGGCAAAAGCAGAATTACTC